CAACTTTGTTATTCTATTAATTTATTTATAAATTCTTGGTGACTTTTTATTTATACAAGCATGTCATCTGGGGATAATAATAGAGGCAGCATGATGTGGTGGGAGAGACTGTGGAATAGCACTTGCTGGGTTTGGATCTTGGCCCTGCTACTTATTAGGTTTTGTGTCCTTAGACAAGTTATATAATGTCTCTTGTGCCTTAGATCCATCAACTATAAAATAGGCTAGTAATAGTACCTACTCATGTGGTTGTTGTGAGAATTGAGTCAGTAATTATAAAGTACTTAGTAAGCATTATATACGTGTATGCTATTACTGCAATTTCTTTTTTTTCCTTTCCAGGAAATCCTTTTTTTTTTTTTTTTTTGAGACAAGGTCTGACTCTGTCACCCAGGCTGGCATGCAGTGGCACAAGCAGCCTCAAACTCCTGGGCTCAGATGATCCTCCTGCCACCCAAGTAGCTGAGACTACAGGCATGTGACCATACCTGGCTATTTTTTTTTTTTAGAGACGGGGTCTCACTGTGTTCCCCAGGCTGGCCTTGAACTCCTGGACTCAAGTGATGCTCCTGCCTCAACCTCCCAAAGTGCTGGGATTATAGGCATGAGCCACCATACATTACCCAGCCCTCCAATCCTTATACTTTGTATTTATTTCTTGCCTTACTGCACTGGCTAGAACCTAAAGGACAGAAATGAAGACAGCTGGCATCCAATAATCTCTTAATGTGATGAGTTATATTTGGTTTTATAATGATAAACCAAATTTGCATTTCTGGAATATTCTGTATATTGTATTGTAAAGTGAATGGATATCAGTGCTGATGGCCATGGCTGCCTGGGACTGGCCAGATGTGCACTAAAATGAAAAGGCCGGAGCAGAGATGGTTGAGAGCAGTGGACTCCCACTTCTGAGGCTTCAATTTGCTCTTCTGCTTAAACACATACGTCTCCAAGCTCAGGAAATGCAGTGATATAAATATCTAAATTTAATGGAAAGATACTCCTTTTGCTCCCAGGATTCTGGTTACTTACGGGAGGTTTATACTGTCTCAATCTGAGAAACTGCCCTCTTGCTGTGTTCATGCCTTGGTAGAACACCTTAAGAGCCTTGGCAAATTCTCTGTCACAGCTGGCTTGGTGAGTGCACATTTGGGTAATCTCCGTGGCTGATGGCAGTCGTGCTGTCATCCCAGTTATCCTCAGGGTATTGGAAGGCTTATGGGCTGAAGTGAAAAGCAAAGGTAACATTTATTTATTCATCTATTTCTTTATCCAGGCATCTCTATATTTATTTATTTAGGTGGCATTCTACGATATCAGCATTTATCAGGTACCTGATAAATTTGGTACCTGATAAATATCCAGAGAAATCCAATTTGGTACCTGATAAATATCCAAAGAAATCTCAACTGGGCAGAAGAAAAAAAAAATGTCCTACATTTTTTGTTTATGAAACAAGATATGAATTAACTCATTCTTTCTTAGAAAGACAAAATACACCTTCCAAATGTAGGAATTTGGGGATAAGCTAAACAACCAAGACTTGAGCAATCTCTCACCTTGTTGACCACAGCCAGTTTTTGCAAGTGATTCTTTGAGAAACACGTTTTCCTCTCTTAGGGCTCTGTTAATGTTTCTGAGCAGTTCTGTCTCCTGCTCTAACTTGTGCAGCTTCAGATAAAGTTCTGATATCTGGTTTGATGTAGTCTACAAAAAACATGTCAGTTAAGCCTTTTGCTGGGTTGTCTTTGATACTGGCAATATTTACTACCACATGAAAACCAAATGGCATTCTTGGGGGTGGGAGGCCTGGTAAGCAGGGTTTAAGTCCCTCAGGGTACACAGGAGTGTATCGAAAAACTTTCGTTAAGGGGAAGGAACAATAATCCTCAAGCAGCCATCATCTGAGATTTTCTAGTCACCTGTGATGCCCATTTTAATGTCACGTGAACACACCTGGCTTGTATCCTTCATGGTGGAAATTGTCTTGGTGTCCACCATGATGTGACCTTCATCTGTGACCATGAGGTCTGGCTGAGAGCAGCTCAGCTCGAGGCAGCCTTCTGTGGTATGGGAGAGACACCATCAAGGAAAGAAATGGCTCAGTTGTCCAGCCCCAGTGTTGTGTGAGGAGATGCTAAACCGTGTAATCACCTGCTGGGCTAGAAGGCAGGGGACAAGATGGCTCTTGCCCACTGCTGCCACTTGCCCACTGCTGTCAGAACCCTGGCCGCCTCCTTCCTCTCCCTCTCCTGCAGCCCTAACTGTACTGACATCATATCTGATTGAAGAATGTACTGTGCGAAAGAATAAGCAAGGTACCTTGAAGGCCCCATAAATCAACAATGAGAGCATTTGTCTGCAAATAATTCAGAAACTCTTGAGATGCACTTAAGGTTGCAAATTGGATAGTCTCTTCAATTTGGGGGTTCATAATTTTCCATACAGGTTTGGTATATATAGTGTTCGGAAGGTCATAAATTCTGTACCTGAGAAAAGGACATAAAACAGTTTAAAACCAGAAAAGGATCAGATGAGCCAAAGATTTGTAGCGCATGGATCGCTTAGATAAAAGATGATGTATAATTGATTCTCGTGATTGCCACCCCTATCATCTCAGTTATTCAACATGGGTAGCATCACGTATGGATAGCAGTAAATGTCTCACAAAAAGGGGGAAAGATCTTGGTAAATCGTTTTTACTTAGATAATCTAAAATTGCTGATTTTCCATGTGAGGTGGTTGGTTTTTGTCCTTCAGTCTCCCCTCTCTTATTCCCTTATGTTTTAATATCCTTTTAGCCTAATTAGTTTAAGCATAGCTGGCACTTCTGCCACACCATAATACAGTCAAATTTTTGCGTGCTACAAATCCGACAGAGGGCTGATAACTAGAATCTATTTAGAACTCAGGAAAATCAACAAGAAAAAATAAAATAACTCTATCAAAAAGTGGGCAAAGAGGCCGAGGCCGGCGAATTGTTTGAGCTCAGGAGTTCGA